TTGGAGGTTGCTGTGAGCTGTAATGCCACGGCACTCTACCCAGGGGGACAGCTTGAGGCTCTGTCTCAAAAAAAAAAAAAAAAAAAAAGAAATGGCCTGTTTCCCTCTCTTGACCCTCACATGACCTAATGGAAGGTTTGAAAAATAGGGGTAGAGCCATCAGCAATGACCTCCACCTATTTCACCCCCACATTAATGACCTATTACTGCATAACAAATCATCCCTTCAGTGGCTATATAATATATAATATATATATTATTTCTGATGGTTTCTGTAGGTTAGAGATTTGGAAAGGGGTCAGCTGAGTAGTTCTAGCTCAGAGAATTTCATGAGGCTGCAGTCAGGTATTGGCCAGGGCTGCAGTTATCTGAAGGCTGGACTGGGGCTGTAGGATCCACTTCCAAGGTAGTTCACCCACAAAGCTGGCAAGTTGGTGCAGCTGTTGGTGGGCAGCCTCAATTCCCCCCCACATGGGCCTCTCCATAGGCTGTTGATATGTCCTCAGACACTGGCTTTTATTAGAAGGAGAGATGCAAGAGTTCAAGGTAGAACCCAGTATGCCTTTTATGACCTAGCTTCGGAAAGCACACAGTGTCCTAGTGATCATGCAGCTTAATCCCTGATTTATTTGGGAGGAACCCACACATTGTCTTGAATACCATGAGGTCAGGGTCACTGGGTGCCATCTTGGAGGCTGGCTACCACACTCCCCCACACTCTGAGTGTGGCTGTCAGTGTGTTCCCTTCACAGTCTTCACCTAACACTTTCAAGCCTTCATATATTGACAATCATATTGTTTATACATTTTTTTATCTGTGCTCACTCCTTTTCCAGAATTCCATTTTTTAAACTACAAAAGTCCTAAAATTCAGGCATCGTGAAAACCAAACTTAAGAAAAAAATATATTTGAGGGAGAAAGACTTTTACTCCTTATGCTTAGAGGTAAATACTTTCAGAATGTTTTCCTCATGATCTTGAGCAAGTCATAACTGCTCTGATTCTTGCAAGATTTCCTCATCTGTGAATTGCAGAAGTCTATCCAACAAAGTTCCTGTAAGGATTAAATGAGATTCTTTTTTTTTTTTTTTTGAGACAGAGTCTTACTTTGTCACCCTCAGTAGAGCATGCTGGCATCACAGCTCACAGCAACCTCCAACTCCCGGGCTTAAGTGATTCTCTTGCTTCAGTCTCCCAAGTAGCTGGGATTATGGGCGCCTACCAAATGCCCGTCTATTTTTTTTAGAGACGTGGTGTTGCTCTGGCTCAGGCTGATCTTGAACTCGTGACCGGAGTTCAGGCAATCCACCTGCCTTGGCCTCTCAAGTATTGGCATTACAGGCATGAGCCACTGAGGCCAGCCCCAGGATTAAATGAAATTCTATATGCAAAGCACCTTACCTTGTACCTCTCAAGTATTCAGTTAATGCCTCCAAGTCTCATGGCTAGTAAGTGGCAGAGTTATGACTTGAACTTACTTAAAACCATTCTTTTTTCCATTATTCCAAGTACTCATCTGTCCCAGTGCTCTCATTTACTAGTTGTGTAATTTCTTTTGGCAGGGGATCACTCTATCACCTGGGTAGCGTGATCACCATGGCATCAGCCTAGCTCACTGCAACCTCAAACTCCTAGATTCAAGTAATCCTCCTGTCTCAGCTCCCCCTAGCAGCTGGGACTACAGGTGCCCTCCACAATGCCTAGCTAATTTTTCTACTTTTAGTAGAGATGGGGGGTCTCACCCTTGCTCAGGCTGGTCTCAAACTCCTGAGCTCAAGGGATCCTCCTGCCTCAGCCTCCCAAAATGCTAGGATTATGGTGTGAGCCACTGTGCCCAGCCAATAAATGTTAATTTTTAAAAGGAAAACTTATAGTCATTTTTATAGACAAAGTAAACTTCAAGTAAAAGTAAACTCCAAAGTAAACCTCATACTAGTAGCATATGTACACTGAGATCAAAGTACACAATCATTACTTTAGAGTCAATATTTTATCATTGTCACAATCCATCCCTCCCAAACCTAATATTCTTTTTTTTTTTTTTTTGAAGACAGAGCCTCAAGCTATCCGCCCGGGCAGAGTGCCGTGGCACCACAGCTCACAGTAACCTCCAACTAACTCCTGGGCTCAAGCGAGTCTCCTGCCTCAGCCTCCCAAGTAGCTGGGACCACAGGCGCCCACCACACCGCCTGGCTATTTTTTTTTGGTT